TCGAGTTATTACAAACAACTTCATTCATTCACTGTAGAGGCGCGGTGGCCTCATAGTTACTGCGCTCGCCTCCGGATTGAACAGTCTGGTTTCGAGCCCTGTCTAGGGGGGAAGGGGGAGCGGAAATACTCCTTGTCGCTTCACTCTACTGGAAACGGAAATAAGCACCGGCCTGATGAGACAATTGGCTCGTATGCAGACTTCTTTCATTCATTGCACTAATAAAACTATTGTCAGCCACCTGAAGTGCTTTGTTGCTGCTTGGCACCCGCTTTTATATTTCTATCTTCACTTGTTTTGGTTAATAATTCAGTTTTTGTTTTTCGTTACCATTTGCCACGAGACAAAAACATCAGAGTATAGCAAGACAGTCGGGATACTGCGCCGCCTCAGTTTTGAAAATCAAAAAATCAAAAGAGTTGAATCACTTTTCCTCAAAACGGAAATTACTACAATAGAAAACCCAGTTTCGTTTTGTAGCTTTTTAATTGACGTATTTGAATGAAAAGCATCTTAAAGCAAATTAGAAAACGGACGTCTTTCGTGAAAGGAGTACTTTTTAGCTGTTGTGAGAGGACATAAAGCAAACATCTTAAGGTTTTCTTCTATGAATACGTGGCTATATATTAATTCAATGCTTTTCAGTTGCACAGTGCTCGCTATTGTTAAAAAATTTCAGTGAGAAACATGTTCGGTTTCATGTCTGAGCCTAGGATTGGTGAATACGAAAACTAAAAAATCATGTTTGATGTAAAAATGAATTTCAGTTCAAAAAAAGTGATCTTTCATCATTTCTGTTGAAATAGATGACTCGGTTTTGGTTTTGCGCATCACCATTGCCATGAAAACAATGATATCTAGTAAAATAATATATAAACATAAAATCACCTGAAGAGTGAGCGATCACGAAACAGGTTTGCCGGGATGAAAGTGTAGTGTTTTTTCCATTTTCAACATATAATACATAACCTTAGGTATATTTTAGAAGATCAAGTGCAAAAATGGGGAGTCTACTTCTGCGTTTGACATCACTTTCACTTAGTTAGAAAAAGGTGCTGAGCTATAATTTGTATTTGCGTAACAACAAACGTCAGGATTCTAGTTCATTAACGTCGCTTTCCTCTAAAGAAAATGATTTTTGAATGTAGTTGTAGTTGTTTAGAAACTTACTCTAATAGCAGTGACTTGAATTTGTTCCATCAC